GGGAATCAATCTATTTCAAGACCCAGCAATACCACTCCTGGGCATATACCCAAAAGATGCTCAATCATACCACAAAGCCACTTGCTCAGCCATGTTCATAGCAGCATTATTTGTAATAGGCAGAATCTGAAAACAACTTAGATGCCTCTCAACCAAAGAATGGATAAGGAAAATGTGGTACATTTACACAATGAAGTATTACTCATCGGTGAAAAACAATAACGTCATGAAATTTGTAGGTGAATGGATGGAACTAGAAAGAATCATTCTGAGTGAGGAAATCCAGACACAGAAAGACAAACATGGAATGTACTCACTCTTAAATGGATATTAGATGCAAAGAAAAGGACAACCAGGCTACAATCTACAACCCCAGAGAAGCTGGGTAAAATGAGAATCTCCTCTCATTTTTTTATTCTTTGATAATTTCATATGAAGAGTTCTGACCACATTCACTTCCATCCATAATACCTCCCTACCTACTCATCTTTTGTCTCTTATTTTTATCAATTAAGTCAAATTTGTGCTGTCTATATATTCACTGATGTGTGGCCTTCTGCTGAAGCATGGCTGAACTACATTGATTTCTCTTTTGATTCCACTCCTCAAAAATTATATTCCAAGTTTTAAGTGTTTTCAGTTTGTTGAGGTTTATTCTATACTATCAATTCTCAATCTGTGAGTTGTGACCTCTTTTGGAGTCACATATCAGATATCCTGCATATCAGATACTAACTTGCTTCATAACAATAGCAAATTTATAGTTAAGTATCAATGAAATAACTTTGTGGTTGTGTGTCACTACAACATGAGGAGGAACTGTATTAAAAGGTCACAGCATTAGGAAGGTTTAAAACCACTATATCTATGCCCCGGAATATTGAATTAGTCAAAGTTCTCTAGAGGAAAATAACTGATAGAATGAATATCTGTCTACTCTATCCTATCCTTCCTATATATCTATGTATCTATGTATCTATCTATGTATCTATGTATCTATCATCTATCTATCTATCTATCTATCTATCTATCTATCTATCTATCTACCTACCTATGTATCTATCTATCTATCTTTCTATCTATCTATCTACCTACCTATCTATCAGCTATCTATCTACCTACGTACCTATCTATCTATCTATCTATCTATCTATCTATTATCTATCTATCTATCTACCTACCTACCTATCATCTATCTATCTATCATCTATCTATCTATCTATCTATCTATCTATCTATCTATCTATCTATCTATCTATCTATCTATCTATCTATCTTATTAGAGTGGATTACAGCCCTTACAGTCCAGTTAGTATAAGAATGGCTATCAATGAAAAGTCCAAGAATAGAGTAGTTGTTCAGTCAACAAGGCTGGTTGTCTCATCCAGTCTTCAGTATATGCCCAAATCATAAAGTAGGCTCTACTGTCAGTGAAGGAATGAACTTGCCAGCAAGAGTGAGGGAAAGCAGACATAGAGAGTTTCCTTCTCCCATGTCCTTTATATAGACTGTCATTAGAGGGTGGGGCCCAGATTAGAGGTAGACCTTCCTGCCTCAAAAGATCTGGCTTAAAAGTAGGTCTTTGCACCTCAAATGATTTAATTAAGGAAAAAAAAAAACCCTTACAGATGTACCTAGCAACAGGGGTTTTAGTTGATTCCAGATGTAGTCAAGTTGACAACCAAGAATAGTCATCACACACACACACACAAACACACACACACACACACACACACACACACACACACACACACACATTATATCTGTATATACAGTTTCTGTAGGGTTTGACTGTAATCAATATTATCCTGTTACTGGATGAAGTGTGTTATGACAGTTATTAGAGCTCATTGGCTGGCAGTGCTGGTTTCTACGACAGCATTGCTGAGTTTCTGAGAAATTTCTGTAAGTTGTTGAGGTCTCTATCTATGGTTAAAGGTCTTTACATCTGTTTTTTTTAATCAGATTTTTCTTCCTATTTTGAAGTTGGAATATTAGAGGAAACATGACAAAAATGCTGTGACTTTTCGTTGCATAGACCCCTTTACAATATGTGATGTTCTTCTCTGTTTCTGGTGATTTTCTTTGTTCTAATGTCTATTGTGTCTGATATCAATATAAAATCCCTTGTTTTATTTTGATTAATATAAACAACATATATTACATACATATGTAACATATTATATATATATATGCTGTTACACATATATATATATATAAAACACCTAATCTGCCTATGTCATTTATTTGAAATTAATTTCTTCGATATGTCATAAACTTTGGTTATATTTTTTGATCTCCTAATCACTGCCTTTAGATTACTATATTTAGAGATGAAATTACTATATGAAGGTGAAGTCTACTAATTTCATGGAGTTTTAATTTTTTCTTTCTGTTTATTTTCCCTGATTACTATGGATTAAATTATTATTTCTTCAAATCTGTTTTAATCTATCTGTAACATAGCCTGTACAGGTTACTTAGCATATGTGATACACATTATCTTGTGCAAATACAATTTATACATCTACTAGCATCATTTTATCACTGATAGAAAACAAAGAAACATGGCCTCCTTTGCCTCTTTAAATTCATCAGATTGTAATGAAAAGTTTCCACTGTGCACATTGAGAAGTGCATTGCACAGTGTGTGCATTGAAGTGTGTGTTGCACTCTTTGCCTTGCAGTGTGTGTTGCACAGTGTGTGCACTGTAGTGTGTGTTGCACAGCGTGCGCATTGAAGTGTGTGTTGCACAGTGTGTACCTTGCAGTGTGTGTGTTGCACAGTGTGTGCCTTGCAGTGTGTGTTGCACAGTGTGTACACTTCAGTGTGTGTTGCACAGTGTGTGCACTGCACAGTATGTGCACTGCAGTGTATGTTGCACAGTGTGTGCATTGCAGTGTATATGTTGCACAGTGTGTGCATTGCAGTGTGTGTTGCACAGTGTGTGTATTGTAGTGTGTTGCAGTGTGTACATTGCAGTGTGTGTGTTGCTCAGTGTGTGCATTGCACAGCATCATACTTTTGCTTCACTTGATCTGCCTTCTCAGGAGGAGACGGGAACCTCTTCTCACTCATCCTGTTGTTTATGGTGTTCTTTCTCTGCTTTACCTATTTCAAGTTTTGTTTTATAAGGGAACTTATTTCCTGGTAAGAAAACATCTTTTAGCTACCTGCTGAAGGTTAGACATGCCGGTAGCAAATGTTCTTAGTAACCATCACCTAACAACGTCAAATTTCCCCTTCATTCATGATAGGTTTCTTTAAAACTTTTTAAAATTTTTATTTTATTTGTTTGAGTGTTTTGCCTGCATGTATGTTTGTGCAGCACATGTATGGCTGGTTCCTGCAGAGGTCAGAAAAAGACATCGAATTCCTTGGGACTGGGGAATGGATTTATCTTATTTGGAGTTTGCTTGACTTTTTGAATCTATACATTGTTGTGTCTTGGCAAGTTCAAGAAATTTTTTTGTATTATTTTTGAGCACTCTAGCCCCATTTAATTTCTACTCCAGAACTGAAACAATACATGTGATACTCTGTGTCTTGAGTTATCTCCATAGCCTATGGACTGGGAGCTTGGTCGTCTAACTGGCACTATTAGCAAGGAATGGAACTTTCAGGTGGTAAGATTAAACAACCATGAGCTACAACTTCTGAAGCTGTGGCTTACAAATAAAGATTTCATCTTTATAAGATGTTTCGTCTCAGCATTTTTAGCAATGATGGAAGACAAACATGACACTAGTGACCAGTCCCTGGATGGGAGGGACCCTGTTTAATTTTCCAACCTACTGCTTCTGTTATTCATGTTGGACAGTTTCTATTAGCCTGTTTCTCTGTCCATTTCATTCTGCTGATGTGCCCAACCACTGAGCTTTTATTTCGGGCGCTGTACTTTTCCATTATAAAATTTCCATTTAATACTAATTTTTATTGCATCTCTGTTCTGTGACTACACTTTTCCATTTGTTTCAAGCAGCTCATAATTGCTCACTGAAACACTTTGCCATGGCTGCTTAAAATTCTTAATTAGATAATTTGAAGACCTCTGTCATCTGAGTGTTGACATCTGTACTCATTTCCCAGGGCTGTTAGAACAATCTACCACAAACAGGGTAGAGAAAAGAAGAGTAATGGGTTGTTTCGCACAGCGCTGAAAGCTTGGATTTTTAACTTGAGATGTCAGCAAGCCCAGGTCATCTCTGAAAACCATGGTGAATCATTTGTTGCCTTTCTTATTTTTTGATGATATGCTGGACATATTTGGCTTTTCTTGGCTTGAAGCTCAATAACTCATTGAATTCATCGTAACAGGGCGCCTTAGTTGTGTATCTTTTCTCTTTCTTACAATGATACCAATTATGTTGGAATAACCAACATCTCATCATAACCAATCATATCTGGAATGTTCCCGATTCCAAACAAGGTCACACTTAAAAGTTTATGGAAAAAGCAGTTCAGTATGTAACAGCATTATACATTGCCTTTTTACTTCCAGTCTGAGCTCTTTCTGGTGGTTTTATTTTATTTTATTTTTATTTATCCTAGGGTCGGGGATTTTGCTCAGTGGTAGAGCACTTGCCTAGCAAGCACAAGACCCTGGGTTCGGTCCTCAGCTTCAAAAAATAAATAAATAAATAAGTGAAGAGAGTCCTCAGTGAAGACTTTCAGGCAAATGTAATTATTCATAGTAAAATTAATATAACAACATAAAAGTATTATATTAAAACTTTACTGTTTAACTCCTTCATTTTTTAATGTAATTTAAGTTCTATTTATTGAGTTGTAATGCAATTGTAACTTCAAAATGATGTCATTACACGATTATGTTTAATAAGCAGCTTTAGAGAGCAGACAAGCAGATAAAACCCTCTTTACATATAGGAAAGTTGGGATATTTTCATCTTCTCTCTGCTGATTCCATGAGTCATTGGCTCCTGTTCCTTTCATTGTGAGGTCATAAGAAGATCTCAACCTGTGAGCTGCAGTAGTATACCAGCTAATGGACTGCATGACCCTTGTGCTGTGGAATCACTCTCCCTGAGATTCAACTTCTTTTTCTGCTTCAGCTTCTAGCAAGGCATCATAAATAACAGGCCTATATGAATCTAACTATTACATTTGCCTGAAAGTCTTCACTGAGGACTCTCTTCACTAGATTCAGTACACAAAGAACATACTTTTGTCAAGGTAACTCGAGAAAACTCTCTGAATGTCATGGCAAGTTTCCTATTGTACAGACCTAAAATAGAAATGGAAATCACACAGCAGATTATGTCTCTCTGTTTTCTTTAGAACTAGGAAGGTAAGGGACAATAAGGGACCGATCTGCTGCCTAACTAGGCTTCAAGGCATTCTTTATTTGTAACTTCCTACTTTAGATTTACATTATTTAAATTTTTTACTTCAAATTATTATACTGGCTTTTCATTTTTTAATATTTTGATGATTTCATTGTAAATATGTTGATTCCTTCTAGACAAAGGGTATGACAAAAATAATTTACATTAGTAGATAGTCTCCAAATAATTTCACCCACCAGTAAGTTTGAAGGGTTTCATACATGATAATTATGATCTTGGCAAATAATTTAGACATAAGTTATGAATAGATAAAGACATGTTTCACCCTAAACAATTCCAGAAAGTTATCATTTTCCTAGCCTCTGCCTCTTATTCTCCATTCATGAAATAATCTTTACCTATTGGTTGCATCTACTTAGCAGTCTTACCGTTCTCGTATCTCTCATGACTCTGTTACACTATCTTTGCAAAGTGATACTTACTTATTTGTCAGCAACCGATAGTCTGCCACTTTAGTGCACAAATCAAGTATCTGATCCAAAATTTCTGCACATATCCCATAATGCTTCTCAAAGCGCGCTTGAGCTCTTTCCGCAGCCATCTTTTCATGAATTTCCTTCTCCCTGAAGGTTTGTTCTGCGAAATCAATCTTAGCTTGTTTGGCAAGAGCCTAAGAGCACAAAGACAAACCTTAAGTCGCGATTATTATGATATTGTTCACGGGAAGATAAAGTCATAATATAAAAAATAATCTTTAAATAAAACAAAACCTCTTTTACATCAGGGTTTAACTGGTCAAGAATCGGCTTTCGATCCTTAATATACTCAGTATCGGTGACAGCAAAAGCAGTGTTGGACTCCATGTTCAGCTTATCAACAAGACAGACTACAATGGAAAGTGGTGTGGATGGGAAAACCAGTGTCACAAAAATAAATTGGATCTTAGGCTTTCCTGAAGGTGTCTTAGTTACATCATTTGCCAAGGGTCAAATGTCACAGAGAAATGATAGTCTGGGTCAGCTGGCCCTTACACATCTGTGACCAGACCCTTCACCAGGAACACATTCATGATGACCACTGTCCTTCACTTCTCAGTAATAACTTACTGATTGGCTAAATGTGTGGTCATTAGATTTCAGTGCCTTGAGATAACACACTCGACACATTTTAAGTGTGTTTAAGTCCTTGCTGCCTTAGTCTTTGTAAATTTGTAACATTCATTTGTAAAAACATCTATGTCTACAAAGAGCAGTTAAATACTTAAACACTTTATCACTACCTTCTCCTTGGTGTGTATGATCACAATAATTTCGTTTAAATCACTCTTTACGTAAAACGCAGGCTAGCCAAGCTGAAAGCAACATGAAGCTTGTTAGAGGGATTCAAATAATCAAGTGCTGCCTTTGGAAAAACTTTACCAGCTGCTTCAGAAATCAGATCATGTGCTCAGCTGCCTCACTAATAGGATCTAACTTCTGTGATTTAATTCAGCCAGTAGAAAATAGAAATAAATGTGGGTGTCAGAGGAACTGCCAACAAATTCAAGCCCCAGCTTGGGCACAGAATTCAAGTTATTTAAGAACTCCAACAAGTCATTTATTCTCATTAAGCCCCAATTTCCTCAAAGGAAGGGTATTAATAATTTTAGTATACTCAGAAAAATTAACTGAACAATTTCATCTGAACAAGTAGTTTTTTATCACAATCCTGCTGATAAATGATAAGATTTATGATAATAGATAGCTGTGGAAAGTCCAACATTTGTTTAACTGTTGCTGTCTTATTTAGCCTATTCATTGTTAATTTCACTGGGATGGATGACGTCTAAGATCAGGCCAGTGTATTCGGTAGATTCAGGGATGACACTAGAGTTGCTCATTGCTTGTTTCAGAGGCCCTGTGTCCACGTAGAGTGAGCACAAGTGAGACAAGGAGCTTTATGACCCGTTCCTTGATATCAAGAAGAGCTTGGATAAGAGAGGAACTTGACACTGATGAGAATTGATGGTGACAGTAACACTGAGATAGTGAAGCTGGCTCTCCATCGGAACCAAACACTGGAAGCAAACAATAGAATTTCCCTATCAGCAACAGAACAGATTCCATCCTGGGCTGCTGCTGCTGCTGCTGCTGCTGCTGCTGCTGCTGCTGCTGCTCTCTCCTCTTACTCCACCATGCTTTCCTTCCTTCCTTCTGCCTTCCCTCCCTTCCTGTCTTCCTCTCTCTCATCTTGGCTTCACCTTTGTCGTACTTCCTTTCCATTCACCTATTTGGTCTCCCTAGTACATTTTACCCCTGCCATCCACTCTGTGCTAGACTCACCATACTTTCCTATCTCATCACATCAATGTATGTAGCATCCCTAAAAGAAGAACGAGGAAATATAAAAGAAGTCTGTGGGCATAGTAATCCTCAGTAGTGTTGAGCTTTGGCTACAGAGACCAAAGGAAGGCTCTGTTTCTGACAAGCTATGTGACTTTTAAACTTTTGACTCTCTTTCCAATGTGTCAAACTTAGATACAGATAGTACTCGTGTGTGTGTGTGTGTGTGTGTGTGTGTGTGTGTGTGTGTGTGTGTGTGTGTTTTGCAGGAGATATATATATATATATATATATATATATATATATATATATATATATATATATATATATATATATGCATGTAATGAGCATAGTGCAATTGTGATTTGAAGGGAATGCTCAAAATGTTGTGATTAATTATTCATAACAGTAGGTGGCACCAAAATTTAAAATCAAGAGCTACTAGTTAAGATGAAATGTGCTTTGTCGTGGAGTATCACAGAAGGAAGCAGCAAGCTGGTGAGCTGAATACCACTTCCCTATTTCCTGAAAGACCCTCTCTGCTGTTCAGACACATGTAAAAATGTTTAAGGACAGCAACGCAAACTATCTGAAATTTTGAGCACAGGAGCTTCATGCCTCTGCAATCAAGTTTGACAAATTGATAAAATAAACCTGAGTTCTCCAAAGGAAAATAGACAAAAGCCAAAGTAATACACTGACAAACAAATCTATTTTTGTTATGAGAAACCATACACATAAAGTGCAGGAGACATAGGATGTAGTAAATGAGTAACAGATTAGATATTTTGATTTTCAAGTTTCAAAATAATATTATAATAGCAAAGAACATACCCAGGAGACAGTTCTTGAACTCTGGGTATTGTTCTCGCTTACAATAAATTAGAGTACTCCCTGCCTTCCCACAGATTATTATAGTCTACAAGAAGGAGCAGTACAATATAGGCTTGGGAAATACAGTCCTATGAAAGGGTGACGAACTATTTAAATCTAACTTTATTACTGAAAGAAAGCCTCCTAAAAGTTCTCTTTCTGCCTCAGAATAATTGCCTAAAATTGTCCATACCAGTGCCCACACTAGTAACATTTGCAAACGTTAGAGATGAGGAAGCCCCTTGGGTATCTGTGGTTAAAACGTAATGATTCAAGGACATGAAAATAGATCATCAGCATTGGCCTTCTGTCAGCAACACCGTATCTGAAGAAAGTGCAGAGACGTGTTTTAGATACTCAAGGAAAATAAAGATGAAGCAAGTATTTCAAACTCACAAGCATGTATGGAAGCACACACTATCACCAACACGCAGGAAGGCAGAGAATATTAATACAGCTCTCTTGACTGCTTCCTGAGGAATCACTTAGAACTTCAAAGGCTAGCAAAGTGACTAGAGACAAGTGGACATGGGACTGATGGCAAGCATGCGATGCTCAGAATCAAATCAGCTCGTGGAGGATGCACTAGAATAGGGAGCCACCTCCTCCCTTGTCAGTTATAAGCTGGCAACCCAATGTAATGTTTAATGGGGATTTCATTTACCGCTTCTCGATCAAGAGCATCCTGGAAATCCTTAAGTCGTCTTTCTTCGTATTGTTTCTCTCTGAAGATTCTATTTTGCCACAACACTTCCTTTTCGTGCCGAACATGCATGAGCTGCACCGCGATCCTGCGCTCCTGCTGGGACTGACGCATCAGCCGGTGAATCAGCTGCTCTTCCCGATAGGCCTCCTGTGAACACCAGCATGGGAGCCAATGACTTACCCAAGCCAAGTCTGGATTATCCACTGGACTCAGAAGTCAACGTGCAAATAATGTGTGAAAGGTATGACAGCTGTCTAAGTCAACTTCTGCCCTTTAGTTTAAATTCGAACCTCCCCCCCCAACACACACGTATATGCACACACACTACAATGAATTGCAATAGAGTTTATTTAATCACAGAAGTCTAATACTAGATCTTTCTAGAAACACTATGGTATTGAAACTCACAACTGCTTCCAATAAGTTGTGAGTTCCTTTAAAATCTAGCAAAAACAAATCATGTCAGTTTTCAAAGTTTTCTGAACAAGGGATGCATTTTTCCATTCATAATTACGTTTCCGACGTCTGGAAATCAGGTATATGCACTTTAATATAATGCCTCTGTAAAGATGATGAAGAGAAATACAGAACTGGTGCCTTTCCAGGGTGACAAGTCAAAATATGAGGAAGAAAAGCTAAAACTCGATGAACAATGAAGCCTGGAGAGGGGGAAGTGACCTATCACTCATCTTAGGCAATCTCAGTGGTCAGTGTGAAGCAGAAAGTGGATGTGTTCTTGGCTGATTTCAGGAGAATGGAAAGGAAGTGAACAGAGGAAAAAAGCATTAACTGGGAATTAGATTGGCTGCTGCATCTTCACTTGTACCATTATCTGGCTGTGTGCTTTGTACAAGTAGTTCAGGTTTTCAGGGCACCCTTTCTTATTAGGTAGTAATGAGGGACTTAGACAAAGAAACAGTTCCCCAAGCCACCAGGATTTCTTTGTCTAAATAGAAGTATCATATGGGGAAAAAGGAGGTAATTGTAGTTCTCAGTGGGGACTTGAAAGAATACTGGTGTTTCTGATTTAACACCTAATGATCCAATGATTTGTAGAAAAACTCTGGGATCAATAATGACACTGTCTCAAAGGATCTCTACAGCTGTAGCGATATAGGAGGAATAGTATACAGTTTTTTTCAAAGTCAGATACAAACAACAACCTAAGGTAAATGCTGAAACCTGAACTTTAGGCTTACATTAAACTTTAAATTGAAGTTCAATTGAATAAGAATAAGACATTTATTCTGTTTATAGGATGTCTTAGATAAAGTCATGAACAATTTCACAACAGGTGTTCTGTCTAGTTATTATATTCTAAAAATAGGTCATTGTTAATAATTTTTATCCCCTTATTATCCATTGCTAGAAAAAGAGAAGAATGCAAAAATGGCCACATGTTCTTCCCTTCAGTTATTCATAGCTCTGCATTGTGCCCATATACAAATATCCAACAGAGGAATCTATTGTTCTACTCCTTAAATATGACATATGGTGTGACCATTAACTTGAACTGATAACCGAGACATCAGCCAAAAACAACAACAACAACAACAACAACAACAAAAGCCATGAAACAGCAACAAAAACCAAAGCAACAACCATAAAAACACCAAAAGGCCCTTGAGGTTTGACCTCTAAAACTCTTGTTACAGTCACTGAATACATGGCCTGAGCTACTAGAAAATGAAAACTTTAAGAGAAGGTACTTTGCTTCTGAGCAGGACCTCATCAGGTTTTGGGGGTCAGCCAGCTCTAGCAAGCCACCAGCTGATGCCTTAACAGCCCAGCCAAGAGGAGCAGAGAAGTACAGCTGAGCCCACCCGCTGGTGCCCACTGAACTGTGGTCTAGTTTGGAATAGACAAGCCACAGTCGCAAACGTATTTTCTTAAAATATGAAATTGCTTCATTATTCTACATGAATTCTATAAGATTAGGCTGTGTTTTCATAGCAAGATATTTTAGCTGTCCAAATGTACTCTGGCTAGCCAACCCTTATAAGGAACATCCTGGTGTGGAGACTCCAGTTTGGATTATTACTGAGATTAAATTGGGGAAAATGAGAGAAAGAGAGAGTATCATGGGATGGCTGCATCAAGGCTACATGTGTTAAGTTTCAGTTTGAAGGTCTATAAGGACCTTCACATAAAAGTTAAGTGGGAAAGCTTGTGTTGCTGTTGTTCTATTATGGAAGTAGTTCATGTTTCAAAAGTGGATTGTTTACTAAAATTTTAGTGAAGTGTAAAATAGTTTCTCATATAAACTCACAAACTAAGATATGTGATGGTTGCTAGTAAGGAAGTCAACAACCCTAGAACATAGTTGCATTATCCTGTATTTAGAATGAATGAATGAAAACAATAGGATTCACTTCTATCTTAACTGTATTTATATATTTGGGAGGAGATGTCAAAGAATACATAATCTAGACTATCCTCAATTTGATTACAGGCTTTTCCACTTCTCCTATGAGGTGAAACTAGGTGTTAACTTGAGTAACAGTTAACCAGTTTTCCAATTGACTGTCATGGAGGAATTTGCCACTGTACTACTTAGGAATAACTCAGTACCCAAGGTCTATAGTCACTAATGAGGAAGGAGGGTACTTTGAAAATTTATAACTAAGCGTTTTGCTTTTCTTATGTGAGGATCTACCTATGACATCTGACTCAGAGAGACAGACAACATGTAATATAAAATGCTTATTTGTATAAATACAAGACCAAGTATTCTGAAGTGCTCAGCACCCTTAATGTAGAACTAACATCAACTATCTCACCTCCTGTGCTTCATGGGCGATTAACTGGTCCATCAACAACCTCCGCCGTCTTTTCTCCCTTTGCTCACGCGCAAAAGCGTCTTCTTCCAGGCGTTTCTGGATCTTTTTAATATAGTCATCATCTGAGTAAGTGTTTAACAAATCAGTAGTTGTCTGGTCTGTTGTTTCTAAAGAAGTCTTGGATGCACTAAGGGTAACAAATCATTGTTAGATTTTAACATGATGTAATTACATGCCCTTTAATTGTGATCATGGAAGACTTCTGGAGGAGGCTCCTTTCAGTTTGTTGTTAATCTATTGATACAAGCATTGGTTAAACATTGAAGCCTGTAGCTTTTTTCTAGATTATATTGGCTTTATATCAGTATTTATCTCTAACTCTCTGAGGTCTTTAACATAGTTTTTTTTTTCCTTAAACACATCTCTTCTTTTCTCAGTTCTTATACTCTTCAGTATAATGAGATTCTGGTTTCTTTCCTGCATCTTTCTATTGGCCTCTTGCTTCTCCTATTTTAAGTCAACAATAAGCAAACTGTAGATAATTCAAATGTCAGGAAGACACGTCAGTGACAATAGACTAGACATAATCAATGTTAGCTTATCGGGAATACAGTACCTGTATGGATGACCCCACTCACTATTATTTTGTTCTCACCTACAGTGGTGAAGCTACTGTAAGTACTCCCAAATGGACTTATGACTTCTTAGGGCAGTGGCCCAGCTTTTTCTAGGAACTTAGAAGTCCAAAGTTGGCCTGCTTATCAAGACTCAGCACAGACCTGACTGATATGGCATCAGCACAGGTCTTCCCAAAAGAAGATGAACACCTTTAGTTCAGTGAAATAAATATAAACCTTGGCATTAAGTTTATAGTCATTAAAAGTTATCATTAAAAACAAAAGAAGCAATGTGCATAACAATTGAATCATTAATACTCATCTGCATATGTCTTTAAAAAGCAATTAGAATGCCATAGTACAGCTGCATAAGATAAATGATAATGTTACTTGCCAAGAAGTAGTGAGTTTATATTATGAATCATCATTTTTATGTTATCACTAACACATTTAATTTAGAAAAAACAGAATTTATTTAGGAAAAAAGGGCATGTTACTAAAGTGTTTCACGACTAAACGGTTATCAATTTTTATATATGCAGAATTACTACTGCAAAAACATGTTTGGTGTGAGATTAGTACCACATATATTACATAGATCCTATTAGATTCTAGATCACAATTAGTTCATTTGCTGCTCCCAGATAAAATCTGGACCTATGGGAAAAGTATTCTCTTCTTATTCTCTGTACAAACTATTGGTGTGTGCTAAATTCCACAACTACACAGAGAATCATTGTAAGATGTAGTTATAAAACATTATGATTCTGATGATTTTATCCACAGGAGGTCCAGACATGGTTGTATTCTGTCTGGAGAAGAGCTAAGGATAAACTGTTTTAGAACTCAACACACAGGTGGTCAAAGGCAGAGCTGACCTTTGCTTATTAAGATTTAATACAATGAAAGCCCATCGTAGTGGCTCAGTCCTATAATCTCCACACTTGGGAGATAAAGTCAAGTGAATTTCTATGAGTTCCATGCCATCATAGTTAACATAGTAAGCTTCATGCCATCCAGGACTACATAGTGAGACCCCCTGCCTACAAAAATAAATAAAAACATCCTTTGGACCAGTTTCAAAAGCATTTTTAAAGTTTAGTATAATTAAATGTTTATAGAAGTTATGTGGTCATTCAGCAAAATTCTAACTATTATGTGCTGTTACAAAGATTCTGTTCTAGATTAAGTATAGGCTAATTGCTTCCTAAACACTGTTTATACTGCTCAAAATCTACCTAGTTCATGAATTATCTGTTATTTATCAATCCATTCATCCTCCCAACCCACCCACCTATCCATCCATCATCTCACAAGCTATCAAAGGCTCTAAATGCAAGGTAATTACAAGGAGCTGGAAATGTTGCATTCCCCAATTCAAGAATTATGCAATTAAAAATGCATTAAAATATTAGATTGTATCTCATAAATATTTGCTAATCAAAAATTAAGGTCATATTGAAAGACACAAAAATGCTGGCTATGCTGATTGGAATTGTTTAATTAATATCTATATATAACCAATTGTCACACCATATGAATTTGGAAAATTAAATTATTAAAAAAAAATTTAAAAATAAAAGAAAGCTATATGGTAGTTTCATTGAAGAAATATTTATTTTATTACATATGGGCATCTTGAAGACAGTGGTTATGTTTTAGCAATAGCTGATTGTTTGCCAAACATTCATATAGAATAATGGATTTTTATGTAGGAATTATCAGTATAGAAATTATGTCATATATATATATATATATATGACATAATTTCTATGTATATCTATCACACCAAATGCCAAACTACAGCATCCAAAAAAGCTCAGCTTAGTAAACATTACTGATAAGATTTATTAGTTGTCTAAAACAACACCTAATGAATAGGATACAGGTGAGGGTGGGGCAGACATAGGAGCTCCACATTGCTGGCACCAAAGCTTTCCATTTTCCACCAAAGGAAAAGGATGGGCTTTGAGGTGACATCCCTTGTCTCCGAAGGACTTTTCAGGCGTGTGCCACAAAAGAGGCAAAAGCTGAAACTGTTCTTTAGATACATGGTTATATTTAGGTAAATGAAGCTATCAAGGAGAAACAATTACAGAAGAAATCTCATAAAATTGCATAACATTTGGTGAAAAACTTCATTCAACAACACATTATTGCTATACACAGAGTGTGGCATGAAATAAATCAAACTAGAGTCCAATTACGACTTTCCTACAGCACATTTAAATTAGTGTAACAATTTTAGTAAATGTTTTGCAATGTATTTAAACTCAGAAAAATAAACACAGTACAGAAAAGTACACGGATTTTACATTTCCTGATACTCACTTTTCCAGTCTAGATCAAAATGGTTAGTGAGTAAATAATCTGAATTTTAAGTCACGTTATCTTCTCTTCTTTCATATACTCCTTTAATAAGCCTCCAAAGTGGAAGATCCTTCAGTAACTTTGCTACATAATCTATTTGTAAGTATTCGAAGTTATTCATGGCACATTTTTCTGATATAAGACATTATATCCTACCTTTCTTTGGCTTGGAGATCCTTTTTTATTAGGGCTTCAAATTTCTTAATCTCATTGGCCACATCCTTTAAAGAAAATTCACCATCAGTTTCCTGCCTTTAAAAGTCATTGGAAAACTTCATTTTCAACCAGTTTTAAACTGTAACACATAGTACTAATTGAAAATAATTAGGAGCAAGATAAGACAAGTTGCCTTTGGGAATACTTTTATAATTCTGATTCATTTCTTTTAGATGAGACTAACCTAAAACAATACAGAAGTTGTCTAACTTGAATCACTTAATTCATGATTCTATCTCTCTTTTTAAAATTGTGTGTACATGTATATGTATATGTATGTGATGTGCAAATGCACACACGTGCATATGTCTCTCTCTCTCTCTCTCTCTCTCTCTCTCTCTCTCTCTCTGTCTCTCTCTCTGTGTGTGTGTGTGTGTGTGTGTGTGTGTGTGTGTGTGTAGAGACTACTGCGCCTGTGGAGTTAAGACAGTTTTAGTCCTTACTTCCAAAATTATTTTGGACAGGATCTCTTGTTCTCTGCTATGAATTATCCTGTCTCTGGTCCCATCTCACAACAGGGGTACTTGGATTACCTGCTTATGCAGCAGGTAGTTTAGCTAATGATCCATCTCCCCAGAAGAGACTAATTTTAACAGTGCACCAAATTAATAATTAATGAATAATTAATGAAGTTGAAATTATCAGAGTCCATGCTTTTTAAATATAAACATTTCATGCAAGTGTTTGTGTTAGGTGTTTTAAACATTTCCCATGCAATCTCACTTACTCTATGAACTTTTCTTAAATATTTTTAGCTCATGTTTATGTACTACTAATAAACTTTCATCAACTCAAGGAAATTTAGTTTTTAACTATAAGAATGGATCCAGAAAAATATGTGGATAATATTCCTAAAATCCAAGTATAAGGTATTTTGTATTTTGTTAGAATTTTAAAAATAATATATAGATTGATATTAAATACAGTAGGGTTAGGGATGAGAGACCTGGGCCAATATCTTCTTCACAGCAGCATTTTACTACAATAAAACATGTCAGCATTTAGTTTTCAGTTTCCTCATTTATAAACGGAAGAAATTGATACTAAGAGAAACATGTATGAGTCAATAAAATGTGAAGTGGTAATCCACATCTTGACTAATGTTGAATTAATAATCACCTTTGTAACCTTTCTTAGGCCAACAAAGAATATAAACAATCAGGAATTATCATCAAAACATAGTATTGCTTCTCCATGACATAACTAGATTTTATCCTTATTGGAATGTTGACACTCAGTGTGATCAAGTAAAATATCTCTAGTGCTGGCATTTTAGTTTAAAATGTGTTAACAGCAACAAATCAATCAACATTTCTGGTACTCATAACAAACTACATTAGATGGTAAAGAGGAATGGTGTGTTCACAACTGCATCGTATCAGACTCCCTATAAACACGAGACTCCAAGTAGACATTCCTATGTTGGGAGTTTGATCTCCCTGGCCTAAAGTTACACCCTGCTACTGAATAAACAGTAGTAAAATGAATTGGGTATGCACTAGCTGGTGGAATTTTGGGTAAGAACAAGAAGAACCAAGGACACTTTGTAAAGAAAATAAGAAACTTTAGAAGGTTTCTGCACATTACAGAGAAAAACCTATTTTTTTTTGTTTTTTTTTTTTTTTGTTTTTCGAGACAGAGTTTCTCTGTGTAGCTTTGCACCTTTTTCCTGGAACTCACTTGGTAGCCCAGGCTGGCCTCAAACTCACAGAGATCCGCCTGGCTCTGCCTCCCAAGTGCTGGGATTAAAGGCCACCACTGCCCGCCTGAAAAACTATTCTTTATCTAAGAGGAAAACAAGACAACAGCAAGGCACCATAACTTACCTCTGCCTCTTTTTTCTTTTTCATCAGTTTTTGAGCCTCAAGTGCTTTCAAAGTACGATTGGATTCAGGCTTAGGGATCTGTATAATGGCTGCTTGGATTTTGGCCATTATCTCATTCTGTCGTCTTCTATTTAAACGTTGCTGAGTATGGCATATATATTAATTTATTTTTTCAGCTTGTCAAAATAATAGTCATGTAATATGTGTACAGATATACATATACATAAAATATTTGTTGAAAATTTCAGAACTGAGCAATTAAGGAATGCACAAACTATCACAATTGTATAATATTAGGAAGTCATTGTCAACATTATTTACTCTGAAAACTATGATGCTAAAACACAATATTGAAATACTAAAATTATGCCTAACTGATGTATGTATTTTTATTATGTATGTTGAGACATGAATAGTCAGGGGTTCTAAATACAAAGAAGATTATATTTCTTTCCCAGTACCACCTTCATGACCAGCCCAATCATGAGAAAAAGAAATTCTTTCTCTCATGAAGCCCCCAAGGACTCTATAGACCCAACAGCTGCCAACAGAAAAGACAGCTTCCCCAGACCCATCCCCCTACGCATGAGTTCAGGGGCAATCTCAACTACTGGCCTGACACTAAAAAATAAAGCATCATTGGATTATCTCTTAAGAAGACAGACAATAATCATTTTAAGGACAATATAAACAGGATGATATAATTGAGAGAAAAACATATAAAACATGAAAAAATAAAACTAAGTATCTTATTTTATGACAACATAAATGTATATATCTCTACCAAAAGCATTGTATTAGAACTAAATTCACTAATTCTTACATCAAAAGATAAAGATATTTAATTTACCACTATAATGCAGAAATTATAATTTTAAAGCTTTTATTTCACTTTCTAAAAATGTGACTGTTTTAATCACCTTATGTTTATGTCTTTGTTTTAATTAAACCAGGAAAATACAGGTTTGTCGTATTTAATTCCCATGGCCACATTTCACATTCTCTCTTGTGTAGTATCCCATACCCTTTTTCTTTCTTTGGAGATTTCCTGCATTAGACTTGGCTTTCCAAAAGCTGAAATGGCTGGTTCAACACCAATCAGTCCCAGCACTTGACCTCAATTTAAACACTAGACTTAGAGTGTCCAATCTCTACCACACGAAGTAGTTACTCTGGCAAGTAACAGAAGGCTTCCTAAAATTTGCCTCTTTTTCCCTCCTTCCTCACAAGAAGCTGCCTCTACTCAGGATATATTAATTTCTTATCATCTTAATAAATTTCAAATGGAATAGGACAAATCATGATTCAATTGCCTGTAGTTTACACATTCCATAATCCAGTCATTTGAAATCTTTTAAAAGTCTTTAACGATGATTTTTTTTTCTCCTGTATCTTTAAAGACACAGATCATTAAAGATTTTTCAAAGAGGTTTGAGAAGCAGTGGAGAGTTACACAAAGTCCTTATCGAGGACAGGGAAGTTAAGGTGCTCAAGATAGTTGGAAAGAGAAGCAAGCAGAGAATTAACCTATCAAAAAGAAACAGAGCAGGATGTAGAGATCTGGGGATTGCAGAAAAGGGGTCAGAGAGGGGAATGGGGAAGTGTTCCTTCTCTCTTCCACAGGGATACAATGGTAGAGGCTCTTCGGCCAGTAGTGTAGCTAGTAGCAAATCATTTCCCAAAGAGGTGAGGCAGAAATTTTATCCTGTGAAAGAAATAAAGTTGTTCCAAGAGGCAGCTAATGATTCTCAGCCACCAGTGCAGGTGAGAATGAGGGAGTATAAAGATGGAGAGGAGAAAATATGGGAAGAGGAAGGTAAGGCAAAGCAAAGCCATGCATCACAGCATGCAATCTATCTACACAGCTGCTTATGAAATGTGTACTTATTACAGGCAGAGGTAAATCAAGAGTAGTATACTAGATATTAATGAATTTCCAGAAAAAAATGCTCTATAGAACCTTTTCGATATTAAAGTGTCTTTGCTCTTCCTCGAGTTTTTGAAATTTTTCAAACTTCTCAATATTCATTCGGGCAAGATCTTCTTTCATTTGTTTACATTTTTCTTGAAACCTGCATGTAACCCGCATCAGATTGAAATCAGTTTGGCGTGGGATCAGGTTTTTAAGTCTCTAAATGAAGAAAGCATTTCAAAGGTTTCTGTTACTAGAGAATAAAAGGTGTACTGGCATTGCAATCACACATAAGTTTTTGTGTTAAAAATAAATTTTATACACACCATTATGTTGATAGTTAAAATAAATTAAAACTATGTTATTTGTAACATGCATTAATCACTAAGATCTTTAATTGTGTATGGTCAACAAAAACAATATTCATATCTCTTCTTATAAAATAGTGTCATATATATTTACATTTTTGCCTGCTCTTGATTTTTATCTTGTTTCCTTGATCAAAAGACCTCTTTACTTTTGACCCTCATACAACATAGTTTTTTTCCCCGGAATTTTTCCCTAGACTAACAATTGTGTCAGTTTCTGTGAAATGTATTCCACACTTCCTTTGAGCTTCTATTCCCCAAGCTATTGCCTTTATTTTATTTCCTTTACCTCCATGTTTCTTGAGAAGATAGTCTGTCCCCTCTTCTCCCCCATTTTTAGACTATGATATATACCACTCTACAGAAATATTTTTCCCTTTGTAGCATGCAAAGATGAAGTGGGTTGGGGCTTTCCCAATGTTATTCACTTGCAAGTGCTTGGCATGAAATGGGGACTCAATAAATATCTACACAATGGATGCCTGACTCTGGAAGTTCTTTACTGTTGGTTGTATATTGTCTTCTTTAAGCTACACAAAAGTCCAGTGTCATGGCAGGCAGAAATAATCATTCTTGCTTATACAGCTGGGGAAACAGCATTAAAAGTTTCTCAGTGAATGAATTGAGTTTACCAAGCTTATTCTTGAAGAAGAATCCAGCATTGAGTTACTTAGCTTTACGCCTAACCTAGTACCTAGCCTGCCCATGGAGTCTCAGTTTACTTTACGACCAGCTTAATAGAGCAATTTGAAAATGGAGGTAGCTCTCTCATCTGTTATGCCATTGTTACTTTGTAAATTAAAATGTAAAGTGTTCCTGTTTCCATTTAAGGCTTTGTGTGAGTGCAGCACTGACTACTAATCCAGAAGCCTGGAAACATTGACCTTCCACTTCACTCATCTCAAAATAAAAAAAAAAAAAGAAAAAGAAAGAAAGAAAGGAAGGAAGAAAGGAAGGAAGGAAGGAAGGAAGGAAGGAAGAAAGAAAGAAAGAAAGAAAGAAAGAAAGAAAGAAAGAAAGAAAGAAAGAAAGAAAGAAAGAGAGAGAAAAGAAAAAGGCACTGGAGAGATTGCCAACTAAAAAGTGCTAAAATTTCATCAAAATACATTTTCTGCAAATTTAAAATGCTCCAGTATTTACCAGGCATTTTCCTTGAATTTGAAGTACTCAGACTTTAAGATCATATGACTAACCAATAAGGACTAGTTAGCCAGCAGTGTAGGGTAGGCACCAAGAGGTTAACACATGTGCACTAGTAGTCACAAAGAAAGAATCCATTTGAGCTGGGTCAACAGCAGGGATGGGAAAGGAATGTTGGGACGGAGGAGAGATAAGATTGGGGTGTTTGGGTGGAAGAAAGGGCAGGAATAGTCTAGACATGTTCAAGGATACTTTCAATGAACATAAATGAAATAGACTTTGTGCTGAGTAATACAGAGAGGCAGTGTTGAGATTGTTTAGTCAATGCAAAGTTCATTTTCAGATGGTGATACAATATATACAAAATGGAAGTCTGTGTCGAAGAACCTCATTATGTATCAGAAAGCCTGATGCACAGGAGACATGCTAGCAGGTTCCTGCAGTGGCCCCTAAAGAAATCTGAGCCGACGTAATAGCAGGAGACAGGCAGGGGAAGGAGGACATAGAAAGTACTGGTTGGTTTATGTGCAGACTCAGCGGGTTATATTTGGATGCATATATATAATATATATAAAATATATAATATTTGGATGCATATATATATGTAATAACAATAGGTGAAAAATAAGGAAGGCATGAATTTAGAAGGGAGCAAGGAGGGGTATATTGGACAGTTTAGAGGGAGGAAAGGGAAAGGAGAAATGATGTAATCATATTACAGTCTCATAAGAGAGAAAACATACTGGGAAGTAGGAAGAGACTTGGATACTAAGTATCTGTAGTGTGGAGAGGAAACAGGAAGACAGAAGGGGTAGATAAACAAATGGAAAATATTAGCATAAAGTAACACCTGGAATGGCCAATGATACAAGTAGCTTCAATGGAGTTTCCCCAAGACTACAATCTCACAGCCAATTGGCTACACCACCTTTTTCCAGAATAATAATGACATCCAATACCTATTAGGTCTCTTTATGTACCCACCTCTCGAAAAGCCTCACTTCTGAGTTCCTGAAGCCTTATGTTTGTCTGGGGTTGCATGGTTTGTATTTCTAATCCAGTCAGCCCGGTTTTCTTCTTTTTTTGAAGAGCAATGTACAACTGATAGAGAAGTTTTGTTGCTGCCCCTGGCTTCTCTGTGATGATGCTTTGGGCCACATTCTGATCAAACTGCACACCCAGCAGGTGAAGTGTTGGCTCCAAGCGGGAGAAATTATTAAGTTTGGCAGTTGAACCCCTAAATGCGACAATATGTTCATAATATACATTAACATAGAATTAAAAACAAACACAAAATGTCAGAAGTACTGTTAGGACACAACACTGTGAAATATCCCACAACCCTTAAATGATTCCTTTTTCTTAAATGATTCAGTTTTGAAAATGCATGAAGACATTTTCCCATTGGCTATGTTTACCTGAACTTTATTATTTTGTAGAATCTAAAATTCATTAATTTTATATATTTTATGTTGCAAACTGACAATAAGATTTTACATAGGAAGTAAGTACAAAAACAGACAAATGCATTTCTCTAAGTGGATAAAAAGACTACAGTTTTGAAAATTACATTTTATTCTAAAGGCAAAATTACAATACAAATGCCCATTGCATTGAGTTATCATTTATTATTGCTAAAATCTTAAATTAGTCCTAAATTTTATATTGACAAGCCTAACAATGATCCTCTCAGACACTGTCTATAATTTTTAATTAAATGATATTATCTATGGATTCCATTATGTTACCCTTCTCTATGTGGTTTATAGTAATTCTTTGAGGTGCAAAAGACTCTATAATTTGACATTTTATTTATTATTAATGATTGAATTTCAACATAGCCTCAAACTTTATGAAACTAATGAATTAATTTTACTCTCTCAATTAGCATTTCATTAAATAACAATAGGTAATGAGGGTATACCTATTTATTTTATTTATTTCTTTTTTTTGTTTTCCGAGACAAGGTTTCTCTGTGTAGTTTTGCACCTTTCCTGGGACTCACTTTGTAGACCAGGCTGGCCTTGAACTCACAGAGATCCGCCTGCCTCTGCCACCCGAGTGCTGAGATTAAAGGCGTGCGCCACCACTGCCTGACTATTTATTAACTTTAATTAATTACAAAGGTTTATTGACATATGGGGCTAGAGAGATATCTCACAATCACTTGCTGTACTTCCAGAGGACATGGGTCTGTCTCCCAGAACATGCATGTCAGCTCACAGCTATCTCTAACTCCAATTTCAGGGGATCCAGTGCCATCTTCTGACCTACATAGACATTAGTCATTCATTTGGTGCACACACAAAAAATAATTAAATTAAAAAATTATCAAAGTATTAAAATGAATAAGATGTAGTTGTCACTTTTTAGGTGCTCATAGTTAATGAGAAATATATTTAAATCAAAAGCAATACAATTGATATGTTGCTTCAGAAGTCTGAAATGGTCTGTGGTTGTTCATGCTTAATGAATCTGACGACAGGAGGGACAGATATTCAATGCATTATAACTGATGTGACTCTATTATCAACCCAGATACACTTATCAGTTTGAGCGTTTGACCTGTTTTCTTCTTATCTTATACAAAAAAGCGTATAGAGTATACTTGAATGCAATTCAAAGTTCATTACTAAAAGTTGTTACTCAGAATCCAGAGCTGCCATATATTTGAGTGATTGTGCAAAAGGTGTGCAGAGTCTCGTGTACCTTACCTACCATACATATTCAGAAAAACGGAGACAGTTATCTCTCCAACTTAGGTCTGTGTTGTATGTTGGACTGCAATATTTAGAGACATTGTAATACAGAAGGGAGAATACAAAAGCAATCACTAATCTTTTCCATTTTTTTCAAAGCTTATCCCTACTGCCAAAAGAACTGACCCCCTGCCTCTCACTTGGTTTACATAGCTTCCTGAACATAGTGTTTACCTGTTAACATTATATAAGTTTGGCTTACTGTTTGTTTTTAAGATGGCGTTAATGAACTAGTGCAACTACCTGGTATATAACAACAATCCTCCCTGGAAGACTTAATGAATATTCTAAATTCCCAGTAAGTCAAATTTTGAGGAACACAACTTGAAGGACCCCAGGAAAACTGTGATTGTTAAGGCATCTGCACAGCCAGCAGAGTAGAATAACCAGCTCTTGTTTTTGCATACAGCAAAACAGCTGGGACATCTTTGCTCTGGAGACAGAGCATATGATGCAAATGATGACCTCTGCGGGAATAAGGAACGTGCACTGGGAAAAGTTTCCTTGCCCTCTGCTTCCACTCTTTGCTTGCTAAGGGACTTAAGTCTCTTCTGCTGCATGCCACCAAGCAACATAACACACTTCCTCTCAACATGAGAACAGCTACCCTCTGAAAGGTATTTCCTTACTTCTTATTTGTTTTCCTTTTAACTGATCTGCCTTGGCAAAACTAACATGGCTTTAAAGCAAAGAATCCTCTCAGAGTTGGGCAAGTTGTTCTTAAAAGTGAGTCATTCCTAAGACATGTAACTTCATGTTTTTAGCGGTATACAATTTATAATTTTCATTTCCGACCACAATAAAGATATTAGACAAACTGCATACCTCGTGATCATATACCTTGTCTTAGGATTTCTACTACTCTGAAAAAAAAAACCCACCATGACCAAAAGTAACTTGGGGATGAAAGGGTTTATTTTCATCTTATACACCCAAATAATCGTCCTTCACTAAAGGAAGTCAAGAGAGGAACTTGGAGGCAGGAAGTGATGCAGCAGCCATGGCAGGGTGCTGCTTACTGGCTTGCTCTCCATGGCTTGTTAGTTTGGAGCTGCCACACCTCAGTATCCACACAGCATTGCTTCCAAGGACCCCCATGAATGTCAAAATCTACTAATAAAATAGCAATAGTATTTTCATATAAATTAAGTTCATACTCTCCTATAGTTTAATTCTTCTCTTGATTACAGAGGAATTTCCCTGGATATTTTCAGCCTTTGCTTGAAACCATGGGCAAAGAATGTAGCTGTGGAAGACGCACTATGTACCTAAAATATTGCATGAGAAATGAGATTGGGATGGTCCTTTAAAATATCTATGGCCATTTAGGTATAGATTGTGATGCTGATTTTTTTCATTATGGAGATAATATTGTAAATTTACCAAGGGTGGGGATAATGCTTGAGTGCAACTTTAAGGATATTTCAATATATTTGAAGAGTGTTCTAGTTTACTTTGGTTGATGTAATAGACATTATGACCAAAAACAAACTAGGGGGGGAATTTTATTTGCCTTACACTTTCTAAATCACAGGACATTATTGAGGAAGTCACAGTAGGGGAATGAAGACAGGAACTGAGGAGTGCTGCTCACTGCTTTGCTCTCTATGGAATGCTCAGCTTGCTTTCTTATCCTAGCTAGGTGCCTAAGGGTGGAACTACTCATAGTGGGCTTGGTCCTCCTGCATCATAATTAATAAAGAAAATGTCCCACTGACATGTTCACAGGCCAATCTGATAGAGGCAATTCTTCAGGTGCTGGCTTCCCAGGCAATTCCAGTGTTTGTCAAGTTGACAAAACCTAACCAGCACAAGCAGCTAACATTCGTTAGGTCATTTTCCAATAATTTTGGACACCTATCTTTAGCAGTTACTCCAATAAGAACTGACACAAACAAATAATCATAACTTAATATGATAAGGAAAAGTATCACCTAAGTGTCATTAGAACAGAGAGAAGACAAAGAGCAAAATCTGCTGGCAAAATTAAGAAGTTTAAAGAAGGGTGGACTTTTAGTTGGACCCTAAAAATGAATTAGAGTTTTTCATGGAAAAAGTGAAAGAATAGTAATATGCCAAGATACATGCCTGGGTTAGAATTAGAATGGCCCCCATAGGCTCATATATTTGAATGTTTGGTCCCCAGATGGCAGAACTGTTTGGGATGGTATGGTGGTTTGAACAAAAATTACCCTCAAAGGTAGTGGCACTATTGGGAGGTATGGCTTTGTTGGAGTATGTGTTGCCTCATTGGAGGTAGCCTGTCACTATGGAGGCAGGCTTTGAGGTCTCATATATGCTCAAGCTTTGCTCACTGTGATACTCAGACCATTTCCTGTTGCCTACAAGGTTTAGGACTCTCAGTGACTTCTCTAGTATCATGTCTGCCTGCACACCACCATGTTTTACCATGATGATGATGGACTGAACCTCTGAACTTTAAGCCACCTCACTTAAATATTTTCCTTTATAAGAGTTGCTGTGGTTATGGTGTCTCTTCACAGCAATAGAAACCTAACTAAGACAGATGGATTATGAGGTGTGGACTTATTGGAGATGGCATGTCACTGAGGCTGGGCTTTGAGGCTTTACCAACCCACACCATTATTATTTAGCTTAACTTCCCATCCCTCCTTCTCTTTCTTTTCTCTGTGCATCATGCTTGTGGATAGAGATGTAAGGTCTCAGCTACTGCTCCAGCACCATGCCAGCCTGCCTGCTGCCACGCTCTCTGTCGTGCCATAATAATCACGGACTCTAACCCTCTGCAACTGTGAACCCCAGCAAATTTCTTTCTAAGTTACTTTGAACATGGTGTTTCTTTATAGCAATAGAAAAGTAACAAAGACAATGCATGATGAAACAAAAATACATGGTGTGTGTGCAGACCAGACAAATTTCAGGTAGGGTTCTATTAGTGGGCAAGATGTTCGAAATGTGTACCCTCTTAGAATTTACCTAGAGACTCAGACATTTGTCAATTCCAAATAATAATAATAACTGAAATTTCTCTTAACTTGAAGTTGGGCCTATTAGGTCATTAAGATGTAGAGAAAAATAATGGGGTATCCTTAACGTGAAGGGATTTGAATATGTGATGTTTGAATCACAAAGAAACTGGAACCAAGAAAAATGGTACAAAAACATGTAACTGTGTGATACGAGTTTCTAAAGTACATAAAGTGATAAACAGAAGTATTGGAAGTCTGGCTGCACGCAGGTAACTATAGAACAGCCTGTGTGCATGAGACCATCTGACGGCACAGAAGATGAAAGGAGAGTATGAGCACACCTGGGAGGCTGGGCTAGAGGTAAAGGTGGTAACAAAAGGGACACAGGACTAGGAGGTCAGGCAGAGGAAGCAGCTGAGGACAACGGTGAAAAACTTGCCCAGGATGCCATGAGGGAGAGGAATGCGGGCACAGTGTGTTTTTATTGTTGTTGTTTTTTGTTTTGCTTTATTGACTGAAATATCCCTATGTTCTAGAAGCTTAAGAAATGAGCTGGGAAGGATCACCGAGAGAGAGAGAGAGAGAGA